ATCAAAAAAGTACTCCAGAGTGTTGTTCAGCATGGGGGTGAGTAGAAAATGAAGGCTAATCATGTTTTGGGTGTACTATTCCTTTAAATCCCAGTTTGTAATTAAGCCGTGTGATGGACTGTGACCTGAACCTAACATGCAGAATCAACCGTCTGCTTCTCTTTGTGTTTCTAGAGAAAATGTTTGCAGCTGAAACCAAAGCGTTGGTCAGATCTCTGGGCGCCAGGGACAATCTCATTGCCAACAAAAATTTAAATCACCAAGTGGAACTTCTGACGTTGGTCAGAATCAGGATGGGATATTTTTGGGAGTTTCCAAACTACAAGCTGTTTAATTACACCCTACCTGGTCTCATGAAGGAGGACGGTTTTTCACCAGGTGGGTCATTTGATGCAAACTAAATCAACAAAAGAATTAAACAATAATATTTGATCAGCATTCCTGCTTCCTATCAGAGGCTGAGGATAAGGTCTTGGTGGAGGACTTCAAGACCTGGATAGAAACTGGCAGGAGCGGCAAAGTGAGTGGAGGTCATGAAGTGTCCGGTAATGCTGAAGTCTCTGCCAGCTGTGACGTCGTGGACGGTCTACTGGAACCTGTCAGCATCAGGATTAAGAAAGCTAACCTGGCAGCTGTGAGGAACAAATTCTCTGGAAGGTACTGCAGGCTCACATTCCTGAGGTGTTGGTCATGATTTTTATTTTGTGTTTATGTACCTTAGATACGCCGAGTCAGTCTGATAAACAGCTGGTATAGATTTCAAATTTAAAAGGCAGGACTAACAGGGTCAGCCTCATTAGGTTGCAACCAGTCAGAAAACTACGGGTTTTATGCAAAACTCCAAGCGACGCGCTCTGTTTTTGTAATTTTGCAGTCAGTGAAACATGTCATTGTCTCCAGTGAACAGTTTCTGCAGAGTTTGCCTCAAAATTTGGGAATATAAACTTTGCTCTCTATTAATTTATTTCATTCCAGGATTTCTCCACTAGGGTCGGCTGCATGTTGTTATGCTAACAGAAAAGCTCTGCATTTAGGTCCAGATGTTCACAGAACACACACTAATACTAAATACTAAGCTACAGATATATACCGCCCTGATTAACATCGTGTGATCACACGTGGAAAGGACATCCGCTGTTCTGGAGCTTTTTTAAAGTTAACTTTGGTTGTCTGTTGTTTTCTTCTTGCTGTTATCATCTCTGTTCTCTGTTCCTCTCGTCTCATGGACAGGTATGGAAGCAGACTTCTATTACTTACTGTAAATCATCTGTGTTGTCTGTTTTTGCTGTTTTTATTCATTTTCTCTTTATTCATGCACTCTCTTTCTCTCCCTTGAGTTCTTATCCCCATTTTCTTTCTCACTGCCCTTTCTGTGTCCGTTGTATATGATTTTACTCCCCAAATAACGTTCAATAAAGTATAATAAACAAATATCAAGCAGAACTTATGGCAACAGTCATCCTGATCTGCTTGTAATGCTGCTGCATTATGAGTCATTCTGGCACTGAGAGTCATGCATCAAAGAGTCCCGCCTCCTGCGCTGTGATTGGTCCGGCCAGAACGGGAATCTAAAGCGATTTACCAGACTGAATTTCACGGAGCGTGATTCAGTCTAGCTGGCAATGCTACTTTCTCCTTGTAGTTTATTATGTTCTAAGTGGTTTTGCCATACCCTGTTGTTATTTTTGCCATAAAGGCTGATTTTCTTTGAATTTATTCTCCTAGTTTATTCTTTTGTTTTCGATACTTTGAGTCTTTCCTCTGAAATATTTTTGACATTATGATCATGGTCATATTCAGGGTCAGGGTCTTGTTAGGGTTAGGAACACTGATTATGAAAGCTGGAGGTCAGAACAGGATCTAACTGCTTTCTGCTACTGATGTTCTACTTTTTCAGGACGATTAAAAAAGATGTGTTAAAGCTGCTGAAACTGAAGGAGAATGATAAACTGGCGTTCGTGTATGAAACGGCTTACAACACCGGACCCGTGAAGATGATCAGAAAAGAAAACCAGAAAGGAAGCATCTCAGGATCCCTTCAAAAAATGGCCACTGTCTGTCTGTCGGTGAGTGGAACCGTCCATCCATTTATTTATTCAT